GGGCTAGACATAGAATATACTTCAGACAGAAAATTTTGAATAATATTGTTATTTTCTTTACATTTTGACAATATTTTTTTAAAAATTCGTCAGGCCCGCAACTAGACCCGCGGCTTGCAATCGTGTTAGCATTTTTCTGCCCGCAACCCGCATTTTTCGGCCCGCAGCCCGCATTTTTCGGCCCGCAGCCCGCATTTTTGGCCCGCAGCCCGCATTTTTGGCCCGCAGCCCGCATTTTGGCCCGCAGCCCGCATTTTTTGGCCCGCAGCCCGCAGTTTCGGCCCGCAGCCCGCATTTTTCGGCCCGCAGCCCGCAACCCGCAGAATAGTTAAACTCCCATGTGAATTTAAATATAAAATATTATAATAAGTAATTTCCAAATAATACGAAATTAATTATATTTAGGTAGTTTGATTGTAATATAAACGCAGCTGCTACTCTCTCCTCCGCAGACGCCTTAACGCCTGCGCTCCTTCGCCCAGCGGCTACGCTCGTGTTCCAAGATCCACCTTATAAAGTCATCTTTATTAACTATTGTATATGTTATATGTAAACAACTCGTTTCTCGTGTTTCATCAGGGGATCCAAACACGAGAAAACTGTGTTTTATTGTTTTCGAGTGTTAATTTGGTCCCGTGATGAAACACGAGACCGAGTTGTTTACACAACATCTCAAACGAAAACATTTCATTGGCTTGATGGTATATGATTTTTAGCGTGTTTCCTTGCGGTATCCAACCTCAATCATGTGACGAATTAGGGTGAGTTCATTCGCTAATTTGCTCATGAATTATTAATGAGTTTGAGATTGATTAGATATAGCAACAGCATTGATTAGACAGCAACACAACTGAGCTCTGTAACCAAATTATAATATATATCACTACTTTCAATCTTCAACAAAATGACTTCGAGATTTATAAGATGGCAAATAACTAAATCGGTTTTACGAAATAGTACGTCCTTTTCGAAAATAACCAGGCTATAAAGTAGACCAGGTTGAGGAAAAATAACTTTGTTTGAAAGCCCAGAGTGGAGGAAGAATTGAATTTGAATTGAATTGAATTTATTAAAAACTTGAATGGCAGTTTACAAAGAAACTGAAAAACTCAAGTAACAAATATTAAAATAAAATAGTTAGATTAGAATATATAAAAATATATGTACAATACAAGTTTATGCATTATTGTGTTAAGTTATTAAATTGGAATAGTTCAAGGCAAGTCCCATTTCCGTACGCAGGTTGGTAAAAAACTGTCATAAAATCTACTTGTACGTGTTTTAAAAAGTGGAATGTTTCTAATGAAAAATGCCACACGGGGCAGGCATACTCTAGCACAGGTCGTATGAAGCTACAGTATACATTTCTAAGATCCCACACTTCAACGCCGTTTCGTTTCAATATTCGAATTGCAAATAGACGTTTACTGGCTTTGGAGAAGGAGAGCAGAATTGATATTTTAAGTACTAAACAAAGTAACCGGCGGTGAACCTCGCGCCCATAGAGATTATAAATAACACTAGAGGAGGCATCGAGTTTAAGAATTGGGAACGCAGCTAATGTGGGGGGGGGGGAATTCAAGTCCCGGATATAAAATCGTGCTCTCATTGGCTGATTTGAAACTCGTCCCAATGGGAACACGAATACACATCCGGCCCCCCAATAGTCGCGTTTCCTTTTTTTTACTGAATTAAGATTACAATGCCTCCTCTAGTGTTATTTATAATCTCTATGCTCGCGCCACCCGCCGGAGCTCCGGCGGCCGCCGGGTTATTTTGGAAGCTCTGCCTAACCTGCGAATGGGCATATATACGTCAGGTACGAGATGATGAACTGAAAATCCTTGACCTTGGTGTAAATAAAATCAACTCACTTCGAATTTTAAAAATCTGTAAGACAGGAGAAAAATTTTGAAGCTGATTAATTCATTTTTAATTTGTTGGTTTTATAGTTTGGCTTCCTGAACAACTTTGTCTTCCGGTATTGGCGCACTTAATTTGTTCTCGCCTGTATCACTTCATGAAATATTATTTAGAAACTTAATCTTATAACTTATAATTTCATCCATTATACGTACCGTTGTTACTTCAAAACATCTTTGGTTACATTCGTGCAAAGAATTATGTTAAAATCAATGTTTTCAAAAAAGGCATACAAAAGTGTAGCTAGGGTTCCCTGTGTGTGTAGTATATTTATTTACTTGTATTTCACGTTTTTCACTTGTATTTCACGTGACCCCCGTTTTTTAACTGATAATTTATTTCTTTAATGCATTTTACATTTCATATCCGAAATTAAAAGAAAATCATTTCTGGATTTTGAAAAAAAATGCTTTATCAATGCATGTTCTCAAAGAAAGATGTGTAAAGAACTGTGGAAAAGACATTTGTGGATCAGAATTTTACACGTTAGTAGTATTACTTTGCTCAAAACACAATATTTTTTCAAAAATAATTACAAGATAGGTTTACTAAAGCAAAATCCGCGCTTAAAACGTCAATAAATATCGGGCTGTTGTGAGTTTGCTGTTACTCGTAATGAGCGTCAAGATGGCGCCATATTGGGGTAAAGGTGGTATATTGTGATTGTCATATCTTCTTAACAAGTTCGGTGACTTCGACTTTTGGTGCAGCACCCCGCCGCACCCCCCATTAGCTACGCCCCTGTTTGAGACAATATTAACAGTGGCGTAGCCAGCGCAATATGCCCGGGGTGGCAATGCAAATTTCAAATCATTATCACTATTCATTTATATTCAATTTATTGTCTTTACAGTCTATGAACACGACAAAATTTGCATTGCCACCCCGGGTATATTGCGCTGGCTACGCCAGTGAATATTAATGTTTATTTCTTTGCAAAATTTTTTGATCTTTGAAGCCTTTTTATGCACTATTTCGGCACAATTTGTTGTCATAGAGCCAAGTTGTGACGGTCAATTAGCCTTTCTCACGATGACGAACATCCGCCATTTTTGGGTGGCATCAAATTTTCATTATCCAATGCAGACAATTAAAACAATGTGAAAAGCGATAAACTAACCATTTACAAAGAACATTTACCATCATTCGTCCAAAAAATTACAAAAAGTCGCTGTTATGTGGACTTATCGCACAGACTTCAGCTGAAATGCCACCCAAAAATGGCGGCGTGAGAAAGGCTAATTCGCAATATATGTTTTAGTAATTTTCTAGAGATTTAAATAATGAGATTTATTAAATATGCAAGCATGATTGAAGTTCGTTTTCCCCTCATCGTACCAAAGCGTAGCGTATTTCATTGTTTCCTGAGCACTAGAGTGAAACTAATGACTTCGACACAATCATATCTGTGTATCAAAATTTGGTATTGGTATCGGACCATGCTTAGCTAAAATTTTTGTTCCGAAACAGCCTACAGATAGTCAATCCACTCCTAGTTTTGAGATCAGTTGGCTTATGTTTGCACTTCAATTACTCAAAGGCCCATGGGAATGATTTTCCCAATGTCCTCAGGTCTTGATTATGGGATCTATATGTTATTGTTAAATGATTAATTGAATCAATATGAGCCGATTTTTTGTACTCACTATGTTATTGTATTGATACGCGTGTACTTCTGCTACTGCAAGAAATATCAAATGTTTATTGGAAGGTCAATCGTCTTCATCAGTATTTGAAATTTCTTCGAATTCATCAGAAACTGTACTTTCTTCATCAGAAACTAAAATTTCTACATCAGAAACTGTAAATTCTTCATCAGAAGCTGAACTTTCTTCATCAGAAACTGAATTTTTTTCATCAGAAACTGTAACGTGACACCGGGGGAATCGAAGCCGCCTTTTACGTGACGGGAGAATAGACGCCGCTTTCGGGGGAATAGAAGCCGTTTCCTTAGCGAAGTATTTGTCTATTTTATGTGACGGAGGAATAGAAGCCGCTTTCTTTGGACCGGCCGCCTTCTTTGGACCTTTCTTTACTCTCTGGTGCAAGGCTTTGTTGAGATCAGTTTTGGCTCCATCGATTACATGTAACAAAGGCATTAGGGTTTCCTCCAAATCTTCGACTATTTTCTTTAGGAAATTAAATCTCGATCGACATGCCTTAGTTTTCTCCATATTCTCTTGGAATTTCTTCTGCAACTTCAGAAGTTCCTGGGTCTGGCTGTCAGTGAGTCCTTCGTCTAAAGCAGCCAACTCGTCTGCAAGCAATACACTCCAAACAATCAAATTTTCCTCCTTGCGAGCATTGGGCACGTAAATAAAATATTGCTCATCTTCATATGTTATTTCAAATTTTCTATGTTTTGCCCGCATTGCTATGCCACTATCCAGTGAAAGCAAAATTCCAACTTTGAAATGCTTGTTTTCTCTTAAATCGTCCTCAAATTTTCGAATTTCCGCTGCTGCCAGAGTACGTCTGTGTGTTTTCACTTCTACAAGATATTTTTGTTCAGACACTGTGGATGTGACATGGATGTCTCCGTATTCTCCTTTCTTTCTGGCGACGTCCTCGACCGTGTGTTGAGGTAAACCTTCTTGGAGTACTGAAAGTACTACCAATTCACCAACGGCACCTTTTGAAGCTGGCTTCAATGTCAGTTCCGTCAATGTATCTTTACAACTTTCAATTGGTTCGAGTAGTTGGTCAAATTTCCTTTCCAGTGCGCTTTGTGTGACTTGAACTTGGCTAACAACGTGATCAAAGTATTTCTTGCCTCCGGTGATGTTCATCGTGATTGATTCCTTCACCGCAACACCAAGTTTAAAAATTTGAAATAATTCTTCATCGTTCTGCGTGTGTACCCAATCGGGGCAGTTGGATAAGTTAAATTTCAGCTCACGGACATTCGTGTCCTTGTCTTCGCGCGGTCTCTTTCGTTTCCGTTCTTCACCTCTGCTCTCCGCCATAGTTGTCTACAGTAGAAAGTTATAGAATGGTGTCAAATGAAGCTCAGTCAAAGGACTATTGAATATTTCGTCGGAATTCAGTTTGCAATACACCAAAGACCAGTCGCTTTATAAACATGCCACGTATACAACGATACAGATCAGTGATTCGACACAGATCTACATGGTATCAAATGTCGTGATTCCTGGAATTTGGGTCACCGAGCGCTAATTTCCTTTTTGCAAGGAAAATTTAACAAAATGAAAAAAAATTGAAGGAATTGTTGTGTCTATTTTGAGAGATGTGAGACGAGGACTTTGATTCTATATATGGTTGAATAATAGGTTCAATCTATGGCTTAATCTGATGTGCATGCCAACCACCTATAACCTTCGAATGGGCATACGTTAGGTACGAGATGATGAACTGAAAATCCTTGACCTTGGTGTAAATAAAATCAACTCACTTAGAATTTTAAAAATCTGTAAGACAGGAGAGAAATTTCGAAGCTGATTAATTCATTTTTAATTTGTCGGTTTTATAGTTTGGCTTCCTGAACAATTTTGTCTTCCGGTAGTGGCGTACATTGTTCTAGCCTGTATCACTTCATGAAATATTATCTAGAAACTTAATATTTAAATTAATATTTAAGTAGAGTAGTTCGCTATAACTACAGCTATACTTCAAAAATATGTAGTCAGCTACAACTACTGCTACTTTTGAACATAGGTAGGTCGCTACTGACTACAGGTACTGCTTAAAAAATGTAGCGAACTATTTCGCTATTTTGCTATGCTATATTTTTTAGTTTTACTGTATATGGAGCGTGTACTAACTCAGGCTGTAATGTAATCTATAACAAATCGACTTACGAGTAGCAACAATAAATTACAAACAACCCTTTTTGTACTGAGCACTACAGTGTTCAGGAGTGTAAATTGACTATTGAGTATTGATTTTAAGCAAACCGTGTCTCAATATCATGCTATTCTATTAAGTTGCTAACAATTTAACGGTAGCGAATGGCGATTCGCTGTTTGAAATGTAGTCAACTACTTGGCTACTTTTAGGCAAAATGTAGTTCGCTATAACTAAAGCTACTGTTTTTAATAAGAAAGTAGTCAAAAACTACTGAGTACTGGCTACTTGAAAATTGTAGTTCGCTACAGTAGCGAACTACAACTACTTCGCTACTACCCACCCTTGCTATTCGGAGTTTGTAATTCCTATACTTTATTTCTGTGCCACAGACCTACCTTACCACATTAATAAGGTCTACACGTGACGCAGGCTAACTTTGTTCAGAGTTCAAATCAAATAGTTCAATTTAAAACAGCGAAAATCCGGCAATACCAGGACTGCTAACTGCAGATTAAGAAGAGAGATACGACTACCTGAAAAGATATATTGAACTGAGGCTGAGCAGAACTCCGACCATCCTCATATCACTCCTTTGGCCAGAGTGCGTGGCCGTGGCACCAGAGTGTGAGAGAAAATAGCCTGGGTACGAGCTAGGTTGAACTTCGACGTTTCGAGTGAAGACTCTTCGTCGGGAAGTAAATATATATAAGGTAGGTAAAATGGTAGGGTGTCAAACAGAGTAAAGGACTATTCAAATGACCTGGAAAATATTTATAATTTTTTTGTCAGTGCGAATTACACGGCTACAATTACTTGATATAACTTATTTCTTAATTGTGAAGCCCCCCGCTCTATTAACCGCCCCCCCCCCCCACACACACACTCTCTTCACAACTAAGAATCATATGCGTATTAATTAATATATATATTAATTGGCCTGGTCCTTCACGTTAATTTACTGCATTAAAACTGTGTTTAAGCAACGCCCTCTTCAATTAATCCCCCTCAAACATGGCTTAGTTTATTAATGTGTATTGCACCCTCACTGTGCCTTAGTAATAGAGGACTTAGGGTAACATGCAATATGGTGCATTTATTTTGCCAGAGAACAACCAATCTGCAACATCTATTGTTTGCGTTTGTCAGTTGCTTAATATCTTAATTTGTGTTTAGGGTGGTAATAATGCAGTACACACAGTTTCAGATGGTACTACCACGTTCTTCTTTCATTTCATTCCAAGGTATGGAAGAACAAGACCTTTGTTAGGATTGTAGATTTTAGGATTTTTTTCTGATACGATACGTGCCAATACACATTTCTGGAGAGTACGTCATCTTGGCTTGGTTCCAAACTTGTTACAACAACTGAGAACAAGCAGTACGAACACAACTTTTCGACAGCTTGTGAACAGATTTGTAACAACGTACCTGTTGGCAGACGTGTAACAACTTGTACGTTTTTATATCCGTAATACAAAGCACTGCTAATTTGAATCTATTATAAATTTCTTTTTCAGGGCTGCTTCGAAAGAACTTCCTTCCTTCCTTCCTTCCTTCCGAACTCGTTCTAAAGCGCTACCGTCGTCAGCAGTATCGTTCCTATATTTCTACAACTATCTCGACGAACTGGCGATGGATTTATGCGCTTCAATCCCAGCCGAGGGTCAGGGGCTCAACTATGCCGTGCGCCGAACATGTGGTAAACACGAGTACTCACGTGCAACCAAATATGTACGGACAGAAGCCTGATACAGCCGGTCCTGTGTGGAATCTCTGCATGAATGTCATAATTATGAGGAGTACACAGACTCGAATAAACTTGGGTCGGTTGTATACAGGCATAATTCATGCAGTATTGGGAAGTGTGAACCTAACTACTGTTGCTGTAGAGCTACTCATGTTATATGAGCAAGTTATTATTTCGTTTATCTATTTTTTACATGGAATTAACATATAATAAGCATTCATTTCAAATTTTACAGTTTTTATATATACTAGTATTGGGAACGAGGTTGGTACTGTTGATCTCGTAACCTGAGTTTGGGGTACTGCGGTTTTGCCTATGGTTATATCAATTACAACTAAATAGTATTTAAATGTCAACTATAGTCTAATGAGTAATGTTGATAATTTGACGTAAATTTTAGTATTGATTTGAAACAGTTTTTACAATCAATACACATCACTCACATACAGCTAGGGTGTTAGGGTGGATAACTGAAGTATTTTTATGCACCCTGTATAAAAAAATAAACTGCTGCTTCGAACAAATTCATTACACCGATATTAATTAACGAACGTATTTAATTATTCAAGCATATTGATTTCTTATGTACTTAGCCTGCGAAAGGCTATTATGTACTGTCCTCACTATGACGCAAACATTCACAAACATAAAAAAATTCAAAGCGGCGTTTCTTAGCTTTGCTGTTCATTTCCTTATGCTTATCCTGTTGCTTATGCTTATCTTGCGTTGTAGTGAGGACATGCACAGCAATAGCGTAAGCCGGAACATTAAAGCGTTCTGCCTTTGAACTTATGTAACAAGGACCAGGCTTATTATATAATTTAGTTCATCACAAAATAAGCCTTAATGATAGCGGATAGTAAAGACGACACACAGTTCCTCAAAAATTTGCCCAATGATCCACGGGAATGCTCTAATTTGATAACAAAAGGACGCAAAGGCGCATGGGAATCATCTCCCAATGTCCTCACAGACTCCTCAGGTCTTGACTGTTTCTTATAGTCTATGAGCTTATAGGCTTTTGCAGTTACGCGTATTTCTAATAAAAAGGCGCCACATTGTTCTAGCTACGGCAAGAAAACATTAAATGTTTATTGGAAGGTCAATCGTCTTCATCAGAAACTGAAATTAAGTATTCGTTTGTCTTCTGTGACGAGCCGGGAAAAGAAGCCGCTTTCTTTGGACTGGGTTTTCCTCTTTGATGCAAGGCTTTGTTGAGATCAGTCTTAGCTCCATCGATTACATGTAACAAAGGCATTAGGATTTTCTCCAGATCATCGACTATTTTCTTTAGGGAATTAAATCTCGATCGACATGCCTTAGTCTTCTCCATATTCGCTTGGAATTTCTTCTGCAACTTCAGAAGTTCCTGGGTCTGGCTGTCAGTGAGTTCTTCGTCTAAAGCAGCCAACTCGTCTGCAAGCAATACACTCCAAACAATCAAATTTTCCTCCTTGCGAGCATTGGGCACGTAAATAAAATATTGCCCATCTTCATATGTTATCTCAAATTTTCCATACTTTGCCCGCATTGCTATGCTACTTTTCAGTGAAAGCAAAATTCCGACCTTGATGAAATGTTTATTTGCTCTAAGATCCTCCTCAAATTTTTGAATTTCCGGTGCAGATACAGTATTTTTGTGTGTTTTCACTTCTAAAAGGTGTGTTAGTCCAGAGACTGTGGATGTGACATGGATGTCTCCGCATTCGTCTTTTTTTTTGGCAACGTCCTCGACCGTGTGTTGAGGTAAACCATCCTCGAGCACTGATAGTACTACAAATTCACCAACGGCACCTTTTGAAGCTGGCGTCAGTGCCAGTTGTGTCAACCGACTTTCATAATTTCTAAGTGGCACGAGTACCTCGTCAATTTTCCTTTCCAGTTTGCTTTCTGTGACTTGAACTTGATCCAAAACGTCATCAAACAAGTCCTGGCCTCCAGTAATGTTCATCGTAATTGATTCCTTCACTGCAACACCGATTTTAAAAATTTGAAACAATTCTTTGTCGTTTAGCGTGCCTACCCATTCTGGACACTCGGATAAGTTTAGTTTGAACGTACGAACTTCTGAGGTCTCGGCTTCGTCTTTGCGCAGTTTCTTTCGTTTCGGTTTTCCGACTTCGCTTTCCGCCATAGCAGTCTGCTAAAATAATGAAGATCTGTCAGAGTACTACTGAATATTTTTACAGAATTTAGTTAACTGTACACAAAAGATCAGTCGCTTTCATGAACATGCCACGTATACAATTAAGTCGTTATGCATTTGCATAGCCATATGGCATATAGCGTAATCAATATGCATCGCGATCAGGTAATTCCAGGAATTTGGAATGAACTGAATGACCACTGATGCATAGGGAGATTTGACAAAATATAGGAAATTCGAACGCTTAAGGGGTTCGAAACGCTTAAATATAGGAAATTATAGCAAATATATAGGAAAATATATAACAAAATATAGGAAATTCGAACGCTTAAAAACTTCAAAAACACATTTCTTTTTTCCTCTATTTTGAACTCCCCTTCCCAGTGTGAAATAGGCATTTTGAACACTTCATAATATTATTTTAGTACTAACGGACCCTAAAATTGAGCTTGGTGAATCAGTCATTAAACGGGTTCACAAATCAAAAACTTTAGGCGTAATTATTGATGAACATCTTTTATGGAATCATCAAATCCAAAATATTGACACAAAAGCTTCAAAAGGAATAGGAATGATGCGACGAATAAAACAGTTTGTTCCCAAACCAACCTTAGTAAAAATATATAATGCCATTGTGCTATCACATTTTGATTATTGTAGCTTGGTTTGGGATAACTGTTGTGATTACTTAAAAAACAGACTTCAGAAATTACAAAACAGAGCGGCCCGAATCATCACTGGTAAAACTTATGAAGTTAGTTCTTAGGATGTTTTAAAAGAATTAGACTGGCAACCTTTAAACCAACGCTATAAAACCAATAAATCGATTTTTATGCACAGAATACGAAACGAAAAAATGCCATCATCAATTTGCAACATGTTCAAAATTAAAATAAATGACAGATATGATTTAAGAGAGGGTCCTGAAGGGGGGGTCCCAATCCCATTTCCCACCTGAAATTTTGGCAAAATCCCAGTCCCAGTTGGATTTTTATTAGAAATCCCAGTCCCAGTTATTGAAACCCCAGTCAATAAAAAACCCTTTATTTATCGGTAGAATAAACAGTTTTAAGACCCTTTAAGCAAGTGGCGGACACTTTATGAAACATTAGGGGGAGGCTCGTGCCGAAGGCACGGAAAATTTTTAAATTTGAATCCCGGAAATGGCATTTGCAGCATTCTGAGACACGCATAATCAGAAAACCCAGAATTCCAGGCGCCAGAGTATGCCTATTTGCAGGTAGTGCTGTGAATAATATAGTTAACAACAAAAATCATGACCAAAGACACCAAAAACGGATCAAAATTGTATTATAAAATACTCAAAACGCAGAAAAATTGGGAATCGACTCGCATTACCTCAATCCCATTCCCATTTTTGAGGACTTCTTTTCCCATTCCCAGTGGCCAAATCCCAGTCCCAGCAACCCAAATCCCATTTTCCCAGTCTAAAAATAGATCAATCCCAGTTCCCATTTGACCCCTTCAGGACCCTCTAATTACTTGCCAGATTAGTTTTAGACCTTGGTAAGACGGCGACAATATACTCAAACATGCACATATATAACTGACCTAAGCAATATACGAACACAAATGGTATAATTCAACTGCAGCTTCTCACTTTAAAAGACTGGGTCTTTAAAAGACTGAGGGACTGGTTTGCCTACTTTTGAACAGGAAAGTGGGTTTACTAGGGGTGCATGGGAATTGCGAATGGGAAAACCCATATATATATATATATATATATTATATATATATATATATATATATATATATATATATATATATATATATATATATATATATATATTTATATATTACGGAAACTAACACTGTCGAACACGCTGAGTTCAAATCCGAAAAGTTCCCGCTCCGTAGACTTGCAGTTTTCTCACAAACTACAATTTTATCTTCACTAATTTCATGACAAATTTTTTCATTGTTCAACGACACTGATCGATGACGACAAACGATTAAGTCACTCAATAGGACCAATTTCTATTAACCAGTCTTCCTTTTAACAAAATACCGTTTTGCACGAAACATTTTGAGTTATGTAATATTATGCGTGTTGGACATAAACAACATATCTTGTCTACAGCTTTGAGAAGGCACAGATAAAGCTTTCTAAAATCCTCAGGTCTGGTTTTATCTCTACAAAATCACAAGGACGTTAAGTCCGTTACTAAGTCTTTTGGTTGTGTCTTTGGGCTGAGAAATAATTCCTTACATGCGATAAAAATGTTTTATACAACGATGTAAAACGGTAATGTTATGTAATGGGTCATCATTATTTTAATTTCCAACGCAGTTTCTGAGACGTAATTCAAGAGGTAGCTTATCATCGTATTTGAACCATTATATCAGTTGGTGTTATGCTGTTCAATTAGCGAGCATTATTGGAAAGAGGGCTTTCATATACGTTGAAATTATCAAATAAACAGCTCATGCACACATTTCCCCACTTCGTCGTATGTTTACAGAGCAGTTTTTATACTTTGGCACTAATCTTTGTGTTCGATTTGAACATTTATTCTTCTAGTTTAAGATTATTTAAAAGTGATCCTGTTGTAAGTCTTTTACCAGCAACCTATCGACAATATTTCATTTTAGCGTTGTCTTTGCCGTTCCGTTGGATTCGCGTTACTTTTGTTTTAAATGCCTTGATCGCGTTAAAATAGTTATTTCTCAGCCCAGAGACATAGCCAAAAGACTTAACATTAACGTCCTTGTGATTTTATAGAGATTAGAGACAGAACTGAGGATTTTAGAAAGCTTTATCTGTACCTTCTCAAGTTGTAGACAAGATATCTTGTTTACGTCTACCACGCATACTATTACATAACTCAATATGATTTGAACAAAACCGGTCTTTTGTTAAAAGGAAGACTGGTTAATAGAAATTGGTCATTTTGAGTGACATAATCGTTTGTCGTCATCAGTTCGTGTCGTTGAACAATGAAAAAAGTTGTCGTGAAATTAGTGAAGATAAAATTGCAGTTTGTAGGAGAACTGGAGGTCTACGGATCGGGAACTTTTCGGATTTGAACTCAGCGTATTCGAAAGTGTTAGTTCCCGTAAAAATATATCAGTTCCAAGACATCGGAAATGAAAGTGAACGATATCCGGACGCAGCAAACGGCCTAAAAAGTCGTTAAAGGATTATAACCAAAAATTTAATTTCTTAATTAAATTAAGTGTTTGGATAAATAGGGATTATATATTACGCAGGCGTACACTTTAAAATAGGGCACGTGGCTTTGCGGGCATAAAATTGCACCAGGATTTAGATTACTTCTTCAGAACGTTTTATAAGAATTAGTACGGTATATTTCTAAGAGCGTATCCCTCAGGTGTCTTTTGTAGAGCGGAGAACTGTAGTTCTTAGGCAAGTCATAAAAGGCAGGTGTTCTTTTTGGCGGGTGGGAAAATTTTTATGTAGCTCGGAGACACTCTAAATATCTTGGAACAGAGCTCTCAATAGCTCGGAGCCACACTAAATAGCCCGGAGCCGAGCTCCATTTGAATAATTTTATCCTAGATTGAATAAATTGAATCCTAAGATTGAATCATTGAATCCTAAAATTGAATCATTGAATATTAATCCTAAGATTGAATCATTGAATCCTAAGATTGAATC